ACTGTGCTCTGTTTAATGTGCATCTTCAAATGTGATGAACTTGACTAGGACTCCTGAAAACTTGTGTGTATGGACCTTTTTTACCGTATTGTCACAAAGCACATACAAATTTTGTCTGCGAAGTTGCAAAATGTAGGTTTTTGGGCCGTCAACACGGGCATCACGATTTTTGAGATTTTGGGGGCAAATTTTTGTAACTCCCCCTTCCCCCCAAAACCCTATAAATCGATAACAGCGGCCAAAAATCGGCTATTCTCTCATGTTTTTCGACTAATCTCGCCCAAACCGTTGAGTTTTCGAGTAAGTGTGTCAAAACTTATCTGAAAGTAGATAAAATTACGGTCATTTTCCACCCGGTCCGAAATTTCTCTGATGAAAAATATACACACTACAAGGTTGCCAAAAAAATTCCAAAATGTTCAAAATTTCATTGTTTTAAGGGTTTTTGCTCGTAACTTTTCCCACCAATTTTAGAAGGTAAGCATATCGTTCCAAATGAAAAAAGATTCAAAATGCTACAATTTCGTGGATCAGGCTTGTCCGTAGGGCGTAACGAGACGGCTCCGCGGCGTTACCAAAGTTTTGGTCTCCAAGGGCATTTTCCGCGGCGGTGCATTTTATTCAACCGCTTCACTCTCCCACTCGTCCAAATGTCAAGAAACGCGGTTCGGGGCCGTATCTCCTGCTAATAGCCCCCTCTAGGGTGGGTCAAAAAAATTGAAAGTCTGAAATGTTCCGCTCCCCAGGCGGTTATCGATGACGTTTGGTAAAAAAGCATGTTTGCCAAAATTTGGGCCAATTTAAACCATTTTAAATGGTGCCAAAGGTCAATTTCAAGCATTACCGAGGAAGCGAGCCCATCAAATGTTAACAGACCAAAATTACGGCGGTAAAAAATCTCGAGTAGTAAATTCCATAAGCAGCAAACGACTTTAAAATTTGATCCATCATACTTATTTTTAATCATGTATCAGGTTTTTCATTAATTAAATAGCCCAAAAAAACAACAACAACAAAACTAATAAAAAACTTGAAATGAAAAAAAAAAATATTAAAAAAACTGGAACAATTCCAAAAAAAACTTTTTAAACACGCCCAGAAAAGTAAAACATGTATTTAAAGTACATCGTTTCTGGGCCAGTTCTAAGCCTGGATTAAGTGTGAAGGATAAGTTTTCATCCAAAGGCAAGGGGATGGTCCTGATGAAGAGGTGTCGATGGGGTAGGGAAGGGGCTTAGGGTGCGTCAAAAAAATTGAAAGTCTGAAATGTTCGGCTCCCCAGGCGGCAATCGATGACGTTTGGTAAAAAAACCTTTGGGCCTTGTTGAGTTCATTTATGTACTCTACAACCGAAATTACGTAGGAAATGACACCTCACATGACACAGAATGAACATTTTAAAATACAGATTTGTCGGACCCCTTTTTACGGCCGCCAATTTGAATTTTAGGTACTTAGAGGGGTGTTCCGGGGTCGGGCCTTTTTTAACTTTAGGAAGTTGTTCAGGGGGACCTACTGATGACGATTACTTAAGGAAAGTTTGTCACGCAATTTTTCCCGGTCAAACCGCACTTCTCCCATACTATTATGGCACGATCCTGCTTCTCGAGCCGTACACTTTTTGGAGGATTGTGCATAATAGTTGGAACTTTTTTTGAAACTGAGGAAGGTCTGATGACATTTGCATCCTCAACACTTGCCTACAGTTCATTTATACCCTCCTTTGACTTGTTTTCGTGAAAAATGAGTCTTTTAAACCGCTACTTTGTAAGACCTCGGAAATTCTGAGGACCAAAAAAATAAATACAGAGTTGAGTTTTTCTAATTCAATTTTATTTTTATCGTTTAAAAAGACGTCTTTCTGGAGTAAAATTTCATCCTCTACAACTTGAGTTCTTAGGCATTTTTCTCATAAACGCACGATTTCAGCGTAAAATCGAGTTCTTTGTACGAATTCGAGGTCTAAACCAAAATATCAGAATTTCACCACAAAATTGACCTTTGGCACCATTTAAAATGGTTGAAATTGGCCCAAATTTTGGCAAACATGTTTTTTTACCAAACGTCATCGATTGCCGCCTGGGGAGCGGAACATTTCAGACTTTCAATTTTTTTGACGCACCCTAAGCCCCCTCCCTACCCCATCGACACCTCTTCATCAGGACCACCCCCTTGCCTTTGGATGAAAACTTGTCCTTCACACTTAATCCAGGCTTAGGACTGGCCCAGAAACGATGTACTTTAAATACATGTTTTACTTTTCTGGGCGTGTTTAAAAAGTTTTTTTTGGCATTGTTCCAGTTTTTTGAATATTTTTTTTTTCATTTCAAGTTTTTTATTAGTTTTGTTGTTGTTGTTTTTTTGGGCTATTTAATTAATGAAAAACCTGATACATGATTAAAAATAAGTATGATGGATCAAATTTTAAAGTCGTTTGCTGCTTATAGAATTTACTACTCGAGATTTTTTACCGCCGTAATTTTGGTCTGTTACCATTTGATGGGCTCGCTTCCTCGGTAATGCTTGAAAAATCGCTGCAAGTCCTTGAGTTGCCTTAAAACATCGACCATAGATGATGACGATATTCCTATTGATCCACTATTAATATTACGTAGAGTGTGCATTGCCAACAAATTAGACGATGGACTGAAAAACTTTATGTTCTTCAATCTTGCGCCTTTTCCACTCTCTCTCTTTTGGTACAGGAACTGGGATGAGAAAAAAGAAAGTCTTCTCTTTATCAAAATTTCACACCTCATCCTGGTGAAAGATAAGAAAAGAATGCAACGTTCATCATTGATAGTGGTTTTTTGTCGCACCGATCTTCGTGGCCTCGAAATAATACCTTCCTAGCTATTTGCAAGATCTGTACTAAGCACTCGAGGTCACATTGGATCTGAAGAGATATCTACGAATAAGCTGAGGTACAAATGCTTCATAAAAGCAGCATTCAGAAGCAAACATAATCTTGGGGCTTTACCACAAGCAGAACAGACTCTGAAGCAACATTCATGCGAACATACCATCAAATTCAGATGTGGAGAGGTGTAAATTTAAACGCTTGTGATTCGGGTTGGAAACTTAGCCAACACGGACTCCTACCAATCTCAACATCACAACCTCCTGCTCCTGAAGAAATTCTATAAAAATTTTCCTGCAAATGCAAGAAAGGATGCCAGGCAGCTTTACCTGTAAAAAAAGTGGGCTGCCATGTACAATATATGTACCAACTGCCATGACTCCTGTACAGACATTCCTCATGACGTAATTATCGCAGATGGAGAAAATCAAAAGGAAGACGTCGACGCCCTGGACATTGTCCCATTTTCCAAGGAAAAAACGGAAATCACAGACTCGGAAGAGAATATTGAGCCAGCGAATCTAGTTTCTATGGAATAGAAAGCAGCTCTCTTAGAACGGTCGGAACACGAGATTGGAATAACCGAGGAAGGGAGCCCATCAAATGGTAGATGACCAAAATTCCCGCGGTAAATTATCTCCAGTATTAAATTCTTTAAGCAGCAAATACGAATAGAATTAGTGGAATAATGAGATTTAACGTACCTGATACAGCTCTTGCAAATAGCTAAGAAGGTACTATTTCGAGGCCCCAAAGATCGGTGGTGCAACAAAAAACCACTCGCTAAGCCAATGCTTCCTTGCATCAGTCACTGGATTGGCTTGCTTGTTACTTATGTCTTGAGGGGTTTCTGTAATTTGGTAGTATGCCTATGATCACTATTTAAGGACAAGAAAGAATTCTGAGCATTGATTCTGGGCACCAAAACAAAAGGAAATAATCAGTAAAAGACAATCATGATAATAAAATATAAAATTAATGTCAAATCACCTCTTTTCTTAAAAGCTCCCATTCTTTCAAGACATGTCTTCAGACTTTAAATAAAATAAAAAAAGGGGGAAGGGAAATTATTTACGGTTTATTCATTCTTTTATGTATGCTTACTAAATGGTCAAAATGTTGTAAAATGTTAAAAAATTACGGAGATCAGCGTGAAACAGGGTGCTCCCGGGTGGAGCTGCGGGACTCTGGCCCGAGGCCCGTATGCAGACCCTGTCGCGTCAACTTTGAAAAAGCATGACTCCAAAACTAATTATTTCCCCAACATCATCTTTAGCTCATTTTAAAGAGAAAAACAAGGGCTTTCTTTTGCATACATATATATTCATAAAATTTCGTGTGACTCCTCTTGTTGAAAAATTGAAAAATCCAGAATCAATATTTTTTCAAAAAATTCGATGAGCCATAACTTTGTAAAAGATTAACCGATTGTCAATATCTTGTATTCGATAGAAAGGTCTTTTTATGTTCTCTCGTTTAAAGAAAGTTAAACTGGATATCTACATCCGGTCAAAAAATATGCCCGAAAGTTGACTTTACTTTGACCTCCCGCCCCCCTCCCCCCGGGGGACTGGATCAAAAACGCCCCCATTTTTGCATTTCTGTAGCCTTCCTTTACAAAAGGTGAAGGTATTACAAGATTTCGTTCTGAGCCCAATTCTTATGGGAGATACATATACTTCTTTGTATGTGTTTTGTGATAATACGGTAATAAGTGTCCATGCATACTAAGTTTCATGAGTCTAAGTCAAGTTCATCACATTTGAAGATACGCGTCAAACAGAGGGAAAACGCGAATTGTATTTTCGCAAGGTGCAACTTTGGGGCAAAAGAGGCTTGTGATAAAATTAATTTAATTTTTTTTTTTTGTTTCTCCTGTCCTTTATGAGCAGAAAGGAACTGTCCATCGGGTTTCTCTCATTAAATTTCCCCAAAGTCCAAAATGAGGGCCACCCTCCTGGAATGGTCTGCTTTAACAAGCTGTAAATAGCTAATGTACCATTTGCTTTTTTATGGAAGGGATCAAAAAGTTATTCAAGGAACGGATTTTCGAAAATTCTGCGATGTATCTCGCTTCAGACACTTGTTTTTTCCTAAATACAGGTAGATGTTGATCTCTTTTATTTTCTCTTTTTTTTAGATCTTATTCTGTTTACGGTTCTACCGAGGGGATGACAAAATTAGGACGTTTATCTGGGAACTCATCACTCCTCCTGAAGTTGCCAGCGATGGTCATAGTTCTCCAAGTAGCAGTTCTAGTGCACCTCCACCCTTAGGAAATGTGCCTAGAGGGAAACGAATCAAGACAAAGAGGAAAGAAGGTAAAGAGGGCACCATTGAAATGGATCATTGGAGCAGACATGACAAATATGATGGTGATTTTTTTCTTGAAAGCAGTTACAGGAAGCATCTCAGCAGGCATGCTAACAAGTAAGATAGATTTTTGTTCCTTTATGAGCTGTAATTAACATGCTCTTTTAACTCACTTGCGATAAGCAAGGTGCTATGGGAACCAGATCAACAGCCTTTTAACTGGATTGTTGTACAGTTTAAGATATGCAGTTTTTGAATAAGCCGATAATTCAAAGTTAACTCTAGTCACAGGCATCTGTAAATCAGCTTACAGGAAATTATATGTTCTTGCTTTTAATCATCAGAAATACCTTCCTTTTTTTTCAGTTTTGAAGTACTTTTTTGCACGAAACAGACTTTTTAAAGAGACTTCTAAGACTCACTTTTAGATGTAGTACGGTGACTAAGATCGGAGCCGAAAATGGAGAACAATATTTTCCAAAAATTTTGAAGCTGCCAGGGAAGAAACGGGGACTTAGTATTTTAGCGTGTCTCAAAAGGAGAAGGCATCGCTCATTTTGCCTTGGAAGCATCTTTGACTGACAGAAAAATGTAAATTGACGAAAGTAATCTTGTGATATGACTGATTGACCGACAGAGAAGTGTGAGCTTGTCAAAAGACTGATCAACAGACAAATTTTGATGGACATTTAAGTATGGAGTAACAAATTCTTAGCATTCGACAGACTAGGACAGACATAATTCTTAATTTTGACTGTAAAGACATAATAAACGGACTGACTTCAGAGTCCTCTTTGTGTGAAGACATACGGGGAGTTAGATGTTCCTTAGAGGGATATTGATTCTGAGCTTGAGAGGAATTATTTAATAGTCTTCTCTTGAACACTTGCTTTGCACAAATCGGGAGAGTCAAGCAATGATTGTTCGCAAAAATAATTATCAGTTTCACGATGTGATCGGATATGGGCAAGTGACTTACTTTAGGTTAACCTCCATGAAGTTTCTTAATAATGCTTATTTTTGTTTTTATAACATATCCAACATTTCCAATTTTCCCGTAAATAGCAGAAATTCACGATCCCTTCTTTTGGTTAAAATTAACTAGTATTTTTGGTCGTTCTGAAGACCTTGTAGTGACTTGTGAAGATAGTGCTCCTTAATTGAGCAAGTACAAGTGCAATGCTCTTGGACTCGTTTGATATTTTCTTGGATTTAATAATGATGATGGTTTCGGCACCCATAAAATTGTTGGATGGCTCCTAAAAACTGGGCTTTCTAGCCCCCCCCCCCTAAAATAAATTTTTAAAGGAAAGGCTGAACACTGGTTTACCAATTACTTTATAGGGCAGCTCCAGCTCCTATCCTGTAATGTTTTAGTATCAGATGGGGTAGAGGACTTTCGGCTTGCGGGTGAGCAGTTCAGCCTCCAACAGAGCTAAAATTAAAGGCTCAAAGATACCTCCTGTTGTTGGAAACTGGACTGTCCACAGAAAATGGAGATCCTTCACTCCGCCTGATAATTAAAATTAACTATCATAAAAGCAGGAACTACCTACTAAAAATATTCAACAACCCTCCATGATTTTAATTCAATGCTCCAATTTTACCCTTTCACAATGACATAATTTTATTTTTCAGAGTACTGCTTCGTGTCAGAATGTTGTACTACATTAAGCATGAGATCATTGGTGACCTTGTACAGCATATATCCGACGGAACCCCCGCCAGGTAAGAGTGCCCCTTCCCATTGCACTTGCTGTTACTCCCTTCTATATCTTCCTTTGATTGCTACATGCTTAGATTGGCTTAGTTGTATGTTAATAGTTCAGATTTTTTTTCTACTCTTCAAATTTCAGTTATTTGTAAACACTTCTACACTTGTACACTCTTCCTTTCCGCATAAAGTTCATCAGTCGCAACTTACAGAGGGTTTCCTGAAAGCACCATACCTCTGAAACAAACGCAGCCAGCAATCTGGTTGTGGTTGCATTCAAATGAGCAGCTGTCAGCAAATCTTTCACTATTTGAAAAAGAAGAAAGAAAGAATAAGATCTCTGACCAACTTTAAAAATACTTTTTCTCCTGATGTTCAAAGACCTTCAAGTTATTTAAATGTAAAGGAAGGAGAAAAAGAAGCAAATAATGCTCTCCAGCCAAATTGGAAAAGAAAAATAGATTTTGACTGAACAATTCAGTGAAAATAGGTGCACCTAATGAACTTAATGAGTTGAAAAATCATTCCTCTTTTGACTGAAAATTTTAGGCAAATTGTTGTTTTAGTTTTTACAAAGACTGGTCTCCTACTGAATTTCAGCAAAATCGGCCTACGCGTGCTGTAATGTGGTCATTTACATTTTTTATGGATCGGAGGGAGGTCATGCTATAATTTGAGTAAAAGTTCATATTTTAAGCTGAAATTGAAACTGTCGTTAGACGTCCTTTAAGACTGAATATCAGCAAAATCTGCGCTTGCATTTCGTAATGGCCACCGTTTATATATACTATGGATGGTAAGGGTGGGAGGATTGCGTTTTAACTTGAGGAAAAATAAATAGTTTGAACTGGAGTCAAAGGTGCACCAGTGACTGAATGATGGGAGACTAAGTTCGTGAAATACACTCATGCTGCGGTAAATGTGCGGACAACAAAAAGAATCTTCTCCCCTATTTGCGGACAACCGTGCGGCAGAGTCTCTTTTTTATTTTGGAGTTGGGTAGGTTTTATTTTGCAATCTTCATTGTTGGGAAATTGTTGGTTTTGTAAGTTCAGGACATCGCATTTTTAGTCAGCTTCAAAGCATAGGAAAAGAAGTTCTCTTAAAATCTGATACTGTCTCAGCTGATATCTTATCTAATTTAGTATAAAAGCATAATGATGCACACACTATCGCTTGTGAAGCGGATTGATTATCAAAATCGATAGACAAAGATGTAGATAAAGATGACGTCGGTAGTATGGAGCGATCCCATTGGTTGCAACTAGTGGTTCTTACAGGCTAAGAGGAAAAATGATGGATTAATTGTCGGGTCTCTTGTCAGTTGCCGTTAGGTAGTCCATTACCATCTCCTTTGTTCGTTGCAACCACCCGCTTCCACCAATGGGATCCCATCATATCCTTTTTGTCTTCATTGTCTATAGCTTTGCCTATCAATTTCTATAATCTGACTGCAGTCATTGTCGGTGGCGCTTCACAAACGGTACCAAATTGTAAGAAGTCAGAATTACCACAAATGGAATTTGTTGTGGTCATATGAGAAAGGCTGAGGAGTTTATCTAAAGGTCATTTTTTCTATTAATATTTTTCTTACTGATGCTTGATGGGTGGCAAAAAATATTGAAAATATTTTAGTTTTGACTGTTGCATCTATCGAAGGATGATGTGAAGAAGTGGGGATAAGGTAAAAAGGAGAATAACAAATAGGTATGCTTTGAAGCAAGATTGCCAAGTTTTGGAATAAAATGTGGAGATTTTACATTAGTGTTAAATTAAGGCGGGAGGAGGTCTGCTTTTTCAGCACTATGTAACAACAATGGACAAAAGAAATGAGCCTTAGTCACAGACACCCCCCCCCACATGTGCCTTCACTCAAACAGTAATATAGAAGCAGGATAAGTTTCTGAAAGCTAGCTTAAACTTTAATTAATCTGAAAAAAATCCAATCTTTAAATTTTTATTTAACTGGTTCAGAGTAAGCAAACCTAGCATCAAAATAATACTTTTATTTAAAAGTTTGACTCCCTTGGACTTTTTCTACTCTTTTCGATGTCAGCAGATATTGCGCTAAAGGTGTAAACAATGGGTAAAGTCTAAAATTCGATTCAGGGGAAAGGGGGGGGGTCGTCTTTATAAAAAAATTCTTCCAATTTAATCACCCTTGTTAATTTTCTAAGAGTTTTCCAGGCATTTCCAATTATCTTTGTTGATTCTAACACACATTTCATTGTGCACAGGAACATATCTTGTCAGCATTGTTTCAGTATTTCTATGAACATTTTATGTTTTTATGGTAAAACCATAGCTCCAATTGATGTGAAAATTTAAGCTTTTTTTGCAAGCGAAAATAAAAATTACTGCAAACTTCAGGTAAATTCATGTGACGGTTCTCTTTTAAAAAATTAAATTTTAGTAAAAAATACTGAAGCTGTGTAATTGAGATGCACTCCCTCTTGCAAGAGACAAAAGTTTTGCCGCCTAAAAGACTTCTATCAAGCTGAGGTTTTAACTCTGTATTGTTCAAATATCATAGGAATCTACCAAAATTTGGAAGAGAATCTCACTTTTCTCGGTGTTTTTGATCATAAATATGTTTTGCAATGAGCAGCTTCAAACTGGCAAACACTTGTCTGATAATCTTAATCACACTTAAAAAAATATTTTCATAACTTTTCTTAAGGAGGAGGGCTGAAAGCCCTATGGAAAGAGTCATGTATCAATTCATGTTTCTATAGTCGTAGATAATTCAAATTTCATTATTTTCTAGATTTGAACCTGGAAAAAAATCTTGATTGATGTTAAGTTATTCCTGTCAACTGCATTGTTCTTACTGGATTTTAAGTTGCAAAATCCCATTAAAAGTTTTAAGCCCCTTCATAATTAAAGAAATCGACTTTTAACAACGAATAGTTGCTGCAATGGTAGACTCTAATCTCTGGTGCAAAGTCAGTAAAATTTGGCCCACTTTCATTAAATTACACGGAAGAATAAAAATAAACATAAGAGTAAACTAAAGTAGCTCCAAAATGNGGGGGGGGGGGGGGGGTTGAGTCTGAAGGGAATGGAAAGGGTGAAAATCTGATGAAGCCGTAAGACGCCTTTGACAAATTCAGGTTGTTAAAGTAAAAATTTGTGAGCAGAGGAATTTTGGCATGCTTATCCCTTGATACTTGTTGCACAAATATTATATGAAATTACTGTAGTATACTTGATGTCATGAATTTTCAAGCTCTTACGAACTATTATTAGTATCAGGCTTCCTATCATGTGTGTTTTTTTTTTTTTTTTTTTTTTTTTTTTTTTTTTTTTTTTGCTCAGTTCATTTTTATTAAGAAAAAGTTCAACCACGTTCGATTCCCTCCCCTTAATTGTCAATAAAAGTAAATCGTGTTTAGAGTCACGTAGTCGACTTGCTTTTTCATCATGGCAGGTAAATTTCACACAAAGGAGGGGTATTGATAAGAGCCTTTTTTGGCCCCCCTAGAATCTGGAAATTTATGCGGGTTTTCCAAAATGACTCAATGAAGTTAACGAAAACAATCATCATTTGGTCCATAAGCCACCGGAAACGTGTTAAACGGTTGCCTGAACATACGTCTGCAGGCGTATTTTAGCGAAAATGCATGTTTTTCTATCATTCGGAGGTTTTTCTGACACCGAGAGCATCGTCTAACGAAAACGAGCTTTTGATATGTCATCAAGGAGGCTTTAGGACTCATTTTAACCCTGGTTTGGTTTTAGTTAAATGATGCGCTCATGGTTAAAAAAAGCTTTTTCAAAAATCGACTTCTGAGGGACATCTGCAAAAATCTTAGGGAAACCCGCCTCTCCAATTGTATGCATGCTACGTACAGGGTGCGGCAAAAGTCCCGGGACGGCTGTTTATTTGTTAAACGGTTACACGTAGAAAAACGAATTTTGGGGGATGTTCTTGGGTCAAAGTAAGCTACTTTTTGGCACTCCCCAAAATTTTTTTGGGGGCCCCCCTAGGGGAGGGCGGGGGGCAACTTTTTTTTTTCAAATAGCAACCCCCCCTTTGTGATACCTCATTCGAAAGATAATAAAAAAAGAAAATTTTTGGCGCAAACCGCAGGTCAAAATGTTCATTTTTGACAAAATGGCGGCCGGTCAAAGTTCAAAATGGCGGAAATTTGGCATCTCCGTTGTTTATTGACGGATTGGTGTGAAACTCGGAATCCTAGGGTTTTTCGAGATGAGAAAAACGATTCTGGCATTGGTTTTCCAGAAAAGTCAGTCCTTTTCAAAATGGCGGCGGTCAAAATGGCGGCCTCGAGCGGGAAGTGGATATTTAGGTTGCATATCGTTGGATTTGC